AAAAAAAAAAAAAAAAAAAAAAAAAAAAAGGAAAAGAAAGAAAAAATTATATAACTACTGCTAGGCCTTTTGAGTGACACAAAGGAACAGAATACAAACTGGCCTTGAGGGATTATAGTTAGGGAGCTGCTTTTTTTTGTTTCAGTGCTGGGGATTGAACCTCAGGCCTCACACAAGCTAGGCAAGTGCTCTGCCACTGGGCCACATCCCTAACTGCTGTGGAAATGTTTTTAGGACACATGACCAAATTTAAATGGCATTAAAATGGCAAGAGATGTTCCAGAGCAATTTAGGGTTCAGTGTGAGATGAATGCCTGGGTATTCAGGCAGTCAGAGGACAGGGCTCCTAGGGCTGGGATGGTATAAGAAGCTTCCTAAAGAAGGCCTCACGGAGCTGGCCCCGAGGATGGGTAGATGTCCAGGTGACATTCAACGCCAAAGGCAGAACCAAACTAGCACAGGGGCCGGCAAATTACTGCCTCTGGACGACATCTGCTCTGCTAGAAGTTAAGGATAGATTTTACTTTTTTGTAGCAATAGGAGGGGTGGGGTTTGAACCCAGGGATGTTGCACTAAACTATGTCCCCAGCTCCACCAGCCCCCTTTTAAATTTTGAGGCAGGGTCTTGCTGGGTTGCTAAGCTGCCCAGGCTAGGCTCAAACTTGCAACCCTTCTGCCTCAGCCTCCCAGAGTGCTAGGATTATAAGCATGCACACCACATCCAGCTCCATTTTACCTTTTTAAATGGTCAAAAATATAAACAGAATTTCATGACGAATGAAAATTATGCAAAATGAGTACCCATCAATAAAGTTTTATCGCACCACGCCCACACTTGTCTGTTCAGATTGTCTGTGGCTGCTTCACACAACAGTGGGAGGGGTGGGTAGTTATGACAGAGACCACGTGGCCTAAATATTTGCTCCCTGGACCTTTAGGGCAAGTTGGCTGACTCTGGGTGGATAACACTAGAGGGACACAGGGAGGCTCTGGATGTGGGGAGCGTCTGCAGCTGTGACTGTGAGAGACCAGGTGGTAAGGGGTGCTTAGGGTTGAATGCAATGTCAAGCTAAAGAACACGAACTCTCTCCATAGACAATGGGTTGAAATTATTCCCACGTACATGGAAACAATTATGTCACCCGTGTGGGTATGGTACAAAACTCTGAAAGGCTCAAAAGGGTGTGCTGTACAAGAGGAAGTCAGTCTTGTGGCCTCAGACCCCAGGCAATGCTACCCGGCTCCTTGTGTATCCATTCTTCGGCCCCCATAAAGGAGAGATTCTTATACCCACACAAACACACACGAGCTTCCAGGTACATGCATGCCTTCTCTCATCTAAAAGCCACAAGTGGTAGCACATTATAGCAATACTGTTCTTCAGCCTGCTTTTGTCTGTATTTCAGTTTGCCCCAGTCAGGACATTCATCTCAACAGCTATATAAGACGGATATGTTGTTGTTGTTGTTGTTGTTTTTTTTTTGTAGCACTGGGATGGAACCCACAGCTTGTGGATGCCAAGCAAGTACTTTACCAGCGAGCTATACCCCAGCACTTTTCATTTTGAGACAGGTTCTTACTAAGTTGCCCAGAGTGGACTCAAACTCGCAATCCTCCTGCCTGAAGTTTCCAAGTAGCTGGGTGCAGGTGCACCACATTTATTCACCAAGTCTAAGGAAGACCAGGGCCAGAAACCCGCTGGTATTTTGGGAGGCCTTGTGAAGCAGAGGGTTCCAGAACTAGAAGCGGGAAGAGCAGTCAGGCGCTGGACAGACCCACCCAGCAGCCTGGCCATGACAGTGACCTGGAACCTGAAGCGTTCAGGGCCACCAGCTTGGGACCCTCTACTACAACCGCTGTCCAGGGGCTCATACCTTGGTGGGAGTGTCGGGGCTGGACGAGGTGGGAGAAGCAGGGAAGGTCAGGACGCACTTCTTGCCCAGGCAGCGGCCATGTAACTCGATGTCTTCGTAAGGGTTCTCCTTCATGGGCGGATCTGTGGCCAAAGGCAATGGGTGAAGGGGCAGAGAAGTTTTCCTTCTGGGGACACTGAAGCCAACTCTTAGCCTCTCCTGGGCTGGTTCTTACAGATCTCTGCTGTTTTGCTGTCCATCACCGCTCCTCTTGGTGACAGACCCTGTTCTTTTGGGGGTAACTCCCTATCTCCCCGGTGGTCACCAGGGCTTAGCCACCCTGGATCCCAGGTCCCTGGCCTGGTGAAGCACTCAGGGAAGGCTCACATCCCAACCAAGACAAGCACCACGTGTGTCCTGGCCTCCAGCGCCAACAAGCGAAGTGACCTCAGCAGTTCTGGCCATGATGAACCTCAGGGACTTTTCTGGGACTGGTGGGCCACCAGCTATATTTCCCCAGAGGAGGGTACAGACTCCAGGGGACAGGTGGCAGCCATCCTGGAGACCATGGAGCTGCCCCGGCTGTTAAGAAGCAGAGGGAGAGAAGCCAGTTCTGGGCTCAGGAGTTCAGAAACTCCTTTTGTTGTCTGGGTTGGGTTTTCTGTCCCTCTGAGGCAGGTGCTGGTAAGAGAAACCCATGTTGGGTGTGGTGGTGCACACCTGAAATCCAAGCACTCAGAAGGCTGAAGCAAGAGGCTCTCTGTGAGTCTGAGGCCAGCCTGGGCTACCTAGTGACTTCAAGTTCAGCCTGAGTGACATAGGGAGACCCTATCTCCAAAAAACCAAAAAAGACGGAGAGAAATCCAGCTCTCACAGCCACTTTCACGCTGGGAAGCCCGCTGCTTGGGCAGCAGCCCAATGCCAATCCTGTGCCCAGAAGCTTGGCAGAGGGTGTGCCCTGCCTCCAGGCCCAGCCCAGCATGGATAGTGCACCCATGTATCTATTGCACCCAGCATCTGCAGCGCACGCACACACACACAGGGGTGCCCCTCTTTCCCTCTCCACCTGAGTCCCACCTCACTGAAACCATGAAGCCTGAAGACTTCTGAACTCCCAGGCACTCTCTGTGAGTTGAAGCCCCACTGGGGTAACTGAGAGGAGTCTGTAGAGCTGGGCCAATGTTACTTTTTTTCTTTTCTGAGTTTTGCTATATAGTTAAAGCTGGCCTCAAACTCACAGAGATCCTCCTGCCTCAGCCTCCCAAGTACTGGGATTACAAGCATGTCCACTTTGCCCAGCCCAAAGTTTCTTTGCTAAAGACACACATTCCCTTGTGTATGACGCCCTGTGAGAGCAACACACTTGGGGTTCCTGCAGGAGCCTACTGGCCTGCAGGACTCTCTTTCTTTCCTACAGTCACCCCTGCCATTTCCGGGTCATCCCAGAAACCAGGTCCACTCCATTCTCCCCAGCCTTTAAGCCTCAGGCAAGGAGATTATTGCCATGCAGAGGAGAAACATGACTTCAGGGAAGTTAGGTTACCAGCTCAGCATCACACAGCTAACTGCAGAGCCAAGGTCCCAAAGTGACTACGGGATTCCGCCCTCCCCTCCTGTTCAGCCTCTCCCAGCACTGCCTGCCCTCACTCACGGCCACACATCCGGCTGTGTGTGGTGCCAGCAGGGTGCCACCGCCCCTCTCACGGGCAGCCACAGCCTCTTACCCAGAATGTCCTCGTACACGTTCTCCTCCGATAACGTGCGCGTGAGCCCTAGCTTGGTCTGTGCATACCAGTCCGCTCTGCTGCTCTCGGAGGAGGACTGCAGGACATCTTCAAACTCATAGGACTTCCTGGATTGTGCGAGAAGGGAGGAAAAAAAAAACAAGGACTGGAATCAATTTTGGCTGGCTATTCCCCTCTCTAAATTTCCTTCTTAGAAACATTTCTATTACTAAAACGGTGTGTTTTTTGTAAAAAGGATGAATATGTGTCAGCCAGGCATGGTGGCACATGTCTGGAATCCCAGCACTCTGGGAGGCTGAGGCAGGAGAATAACCACGAATTCGAGGCCAGCCTGGACTCAACAGTGAGTTCAAGGTAGCTTGAACCATATAGTGAGACTTTGTCTCAAAACAAACAAACAAACAAACAAAACCAAAAAACAGAAGAAAAAGATAATGTAAGCAAAGACCTTGGGCTTAGTCCCCAGTGCTGAAAGAAAGAAAAGAACAGAAAAGAAAGCAGACAGGCTTTTGTTGGTAAGAATATGCTATTACGCTAAATGAGAATAATCATATTTGTATATATGCACATCTTTGCAAACAAATACGTCTGCTGAAACGAGAAGAAAAGACAGACACGGAGTGCAGCGCAGGCCCCCAGGACTTGGGGATGGCGTGGGAGCGCGTCTCTCTGCCCTCCTCCTTCAGGCCTCCTCAGGCTTTCTATCGTCTGTGGGCCGTACACCTGCCTCTCTGCTCCTGTTCTCAGCAGGGACCCAGAGGCCAGAGGGGCACAAATGCTGATGCTCCTGTCTGCTGCCTGACCTGTGCTCATCTTTCTAGGAGGAGGCGATTACATGGTCTGCATGACTGAGCATCCGGGAGGCTGAGGAGGTGGTCCAGGCTGGACTTGGACCTGCATCCTCCTGCTTCGGCCTCCCAGGCGCTGGGCTCACAGGTGTGTGCCATCACACCTGGCTCCTTGAATGGCGTCTACTTGCTCTTCTGTGTATGGGGTCCGGATGGCCTCAGCTCTCCCAGGGCTCAGAAATCACCGTGTCCACAAAGCCGAGTAGTGGGCATCATGAGGGACTGCAGCTGCCCACCCCAAGGCGCTGGGGATGTAATTCAGGGATAGAGTGCTTCCCCTAGCATACACAAAAATCCTGGGTTCAATCCCTGGTACGGCCAAAATGGAATGATAGAAGAAAAAACTACCTCTGTCCACTAAATTGGTGTCTAAAATAAAAAATTATTTCCATCTTTCGATGAGAAATAATACTTGACAGTTACTCTTTCTTTTGTTTTGCTTCTTTGTTTAAGACAGGGTTTCATTCTAGCCTTGAATTCATTATGTGGCCCAGACCAGCTCTGAAATCTTGGCCATCTGAGTGCTGGGATTACAGGTGTGTGTCACACATCGCCTGGCAATATGACAGTGACTCTTAACAACGTGGAATCATAATCTTAGAATAACAACCATGGTCTCTGCTTTCTAATGCAACCGCTACTGAAATAAATTACTTTGCTAAATGAAGTTTCTCAGAAGGCTTCAAAATTACTTTTGTTCTCAACTTCAAAATAATCAACAATTTGTTCCTCTGAAGATTGAACATTCCCGTTTCAGCCCTAATAGCAGCTGACGTCTGTGCTGACTGAGATGTCTCACAGCGGCAGGAACCACAGCTAGGTGCCTGGAAGTTTACTTTAACTATTGAATGAAGAGAGCGGGCTGGGATGGGACTCAGTGGTACAGCGCCTGCCTGGCAAGTGTGAGGCCCTGAGTTCGATTCCTCCTAGTAAAAGAGAGAGAGAGAGCACCAGGTGTGGTGGCTGACACCCATGTTCCCAGCACCCAGGAGGCTGAGGCAGGAGGATCACCCTGAGTTTGCGGCCAGCCTGAACTACGTAGTGAGACCCTGTCTCAACCCCTGTCCCCCAAAACAAAACAAAAAAAAACAAAGATAGCTGCAGCCACAGCCTGGCCATGTGCTGTGGGGGAAACTATCGGTCTATGAAGTGATGGGGCCGTGAACCGCACAGTGCGATTTGGCAGTCATAAAATGACTGAAGTTTTGTGTCCTCAAAAAGTTCTGCAAGTCTTCTACCAATGCTCCAGGCAAAAGCCGCATCTACACGATGCTAAAAGAATCAGCTGAAACACTGAAATTTTGACCAACATAATTATTTAGTTTCAGGAAGACCTAAAAACTCAGTCATGGGATCAACTTATACTCAAGCTAAAACACAGCTTCAAGTTAAAACATTGTGAGCATGCGGATGCACACGGGTTCAGGATGCTGCCTACACTTACACGGTCATCACTTCTCCCGTTAAAGGCTGGCCGGGAAGGCGTTCTCGCCCAAGTTATTAGATGTGTGCCATTAAGCACACAGAACCGAATGGATGCAGCTGCAGGCACCTTACCCTCGGAATTTCCTCACATCGGAGGGTTTCTCAGTCTCCATGTTAGGACTGAAGGCGAACATCTTTGCATTTCCTTTCCTGGGGCTTTAGAGAAATAAAGAAGAGCAAAGAGAGGGAAGAGGGAGGGAAGAAGGAAGGAGGGGAGGGAAAAATATGAGGAGAAAAGAGGAGAAAAAGGCAGATCTGAACCCTCCAGTTTGGCTCTGGAGTGTAGTACGCGGCCAATGAACACAAGCGGGAGACACCGCCCCGCCACCCGGCTCACCGCCCTGTCTCGTAACCTTACACCTGGTAACCTGCGGTCCTCGGTCCTCTTTCTGCAGCCCTGGCCCGGCTTTCCTCTCCTGGGCTTTCCTCTCCTGCCAAATCTCTGTTTTGTCTTAAGAGACAGTAACACAATAAAGCACATGCTTTATTTTCTCTTAAGAGTAGAAAGTGAACACCTCACTCTAATCACCTGCACTGGACTATTTTGAACAAAATGAAAAACCTACAGCCAAGAAGTCTTAAAACACAGCGAATGCAACCACCGTCAAACTGGCCGAGAAAACAATTTCATCTTTGGCCTGAAACCAAGTAACTTTAGCTGGTTATAAAGAAAATGCTAGAGGACAGGAAAGAGCAGTTGGGAGCTGAGCCCTGGGCGGGGGGCTTCTTCGGAGAAGCAGCCTAGAGCAGCCGGCAGGGCTGACGTCGGAAGTCACAGACTGTGAGGGAAGGGCAGGGAAGGGAGGCAAAAGAAGGAAGTTGTGCTGTGTGTGTGTCCCAGCTCCCCACGAGCAACGCAACCACCATGCACTACAAGCCTGCACTAATAAAAATAAAACATTTAAAAAGACTATTAGGGAAGGTGTGCCTTAGTACCAGTTCGGGAAAGGATTTAGAATTGGAGGAGAGCTGGGGATGGTAGTGCACACCTGTAATCCTAGCTACTCAGGAGGCTGAGGCAGGAGGATGGCAAGTTTGAGGCCAGACTGAGCAGTTTAGCAAGATCCTGTCCCAAAATACAACGTAGAAAGGGCTGTGGATATAGCGTAATGGAAGAGCAGCCCTGGGTTCATTCCCTAGTTCTCCTCACACAGGTGAGAGCTGGAGGAACAGGGCTGAAGCTCAGTAGCGAGTATGAGCTCAGCACGTGTGAGCCCCGAGTTCAGTCCCCAGCAATAAAGCAACCTCCCTGTCCCCAAAGAATTAGAGATGGATTCCAACTTTCTCCAAACCCAGAGAAAGAAGTTTCTAAATTCTTCTATAGACCTCATGTAATACTGGTACCAACCTGATAAAGATAATGCAATAAACGCTAGGAATAAGCCAGGCATGGTGGCGCATGCCTGTGATCCCAGCACTTAGGAGGGTGAGGCAGGAAGATTACCATGAGTATGCGACCAGCCTGGGCTACATAGTGAGACCTCATCTCAAAAGGACAAAAACAAAAAAGCAAAAATAAACAAACAAACAGATAGCTAGGAATAGACCAGTCTCATTTAAGAAATATTGGTACAAAAATATTAAAATATCAGCCTGGGGATTTAGCTCAATGGTTTTGCCACCTGCCTTGTAGGCGCAAGAATTCCAGTTCGATTCCCAGTACCCGCCCCCCCCAATATCAGCAAATGGAATTCAACTGCATATTAAAAGCATAACACTGGGTGTGGTGCTGCACACCTGTAATCCCAGCACTTTGGGAGGCTAAACCAGGAGGATCACAATTTCTAGCCCAGTCTGGACAATATAGCAATTTAGTAAGACCTTGCTTCAAAATAAAACAATTTTAAAGAGCCAGGCAGGGTGGTGCATACCTGTAATTACAATACTCAGGAGGCTGAGGCAAGAGGATCTCTGCGAGTTTGAGGCCAGCCTGGGCTACCTAGTGAGTTCAAGGCCAGACTGAATTACAGTGGAGACTCTGGTCTCAAAAAAACAAACGAAAAATTTTAAAGGGTTGGGGATGTAACTCAGTGCAAAGGCCCTGGGTTCAGTTCCTAGTATTGCAAAATAATAACAATAACAACAACAACAATAACAATGATAACAACAACTAGGACTGAATGAGAATTCATCCACAAAGTGTAAGATGTACTAAGATATACTAACATACAAATTCCAGACTGATCTGTGGCTCAGTGTAGTAGAATGCTTACCTAGCATGCAGAAGGCACCGGACACAAAAAATAAATAAACAAGTTCACTATTAATGAGTCAAAGGGACAAGTCATAGGACCATCTAAAGTTGCTGAAAAGTTGCTTTTAAGAAATCTAACATTGAATATTAACTTTTCAAAACTCTATTTATCTCTCTATTTCCATATATCAGTATCAACAACACAAAACATCTCAGGTAAGACAGTTGGAGAGTGAAACTCCAGGAGCATTTCCAGTAATGTTTAAGATCAGGCTGTCTACCGCTATCAGTACTAGGATTTAATTGTTTATTTTGTTTGTTTGTTTGAGACAGGATCTCACTATTTAGTTCGGGCTAGCCTTAAACTCATGGCAATCCTCCTGCCTCAGTCTGCCAAGGGCTGGATTACAAGCATGCACCATAATGCCTGGCTTTGGATGAAATTTTTGGGTTGGGGATGTAGTCAGCAGCCTGGCAAGCATGAGGTCCTGAGTTTGATCCCTGGTACAAAAAAAAGAAAGAAGAAAAATTTTAAAACATTAGAATGGAAGATCTTGCTGACAAAGTGGATGGGCACATGTGCAAAAGGACTCAGAGAGGATTCCCAGCTCCTTAGTTGAAGTAACTAAGTGGAGAGTGATGCCATTTAATAGGGTGACAGCTGTCCTGGGGTGATGGTTAGTGTAGGCCAGGAGGGAGAGTGCGGGTTTGGGGACGACTCCTCAGACGGGTCGCTGGGAGAACTGCTGGCCTGGAGACCTACCTTTGGGAATCCCAAGCTCATAACCAACAGTTCAAACCATGGACTGAAAAGGCCTTTCAGGGGTGAGTGGCGGGGGAGGAGGAAGTCCCTGGTCTGGTCAGGGCCTGAGCTGGGCCCAGGTGAGGAGGAGGTGCAACCCCAACATGTGGGATGGGAGGAGGGGATGAGACCCTGGAGGCAGGGAGGTGGGGTTTCCAGATGGGGCCGGTAAACAGCTGTCTTCAAATACCAAGATGGCGGGTAAGAAAAGAGAATTGGCCGTGGATTCCCGAGGGAGAGGCCTATGGGGGCTTTGGGTGGATGGGATGAGTGCGGGCATCTTGTACTGTAATGAACTCACCATTGGAAATAGTCACTGTATGTTTCAATCATCTCTGACAGAGGGTGACAGGCCAGGGTAGGCCCAGGCAATGTGTTTCCAGACCTACACCAAAGAAAACCACTGAAAGAGCCGGAAAGATACAAGGCCGAGTGGGCAGCAGGGACTAATTAGTGGACTGCTCCTTTCCCATCGCTCTTCACTAGCTCTTGGCTACTCTCCCAATTACAAGTCCTAATCACATCCAAAGGATAATTCTTTTTAAAGCAAACACTCTTTTTCCGAGGACTAAGAACAAACACAAAACACATGTACCAGTTCCAATATTTCTAAGTTTATCAACAAACTGCCTTATGCTATGACCATTCCAGCCCCGAGGGAGGCCGAGGCAGGATGACCACTAGCTTGAGTTCTGCCTGGGCTAAAGCAAGACCTTGTCTGAGAAAAATAAAAAGAGCTGGGGATGTAGCACAGTGGAAGGGAGGCCTGGGTTCAAATCCCAGGAAGGGGTGGGGTGGGGGAAAGAGGAGGAGGAAAGGGAAAAAGAGGAGGAGAAGGAAGAGGAAGAAGAGGAAGGAGGGGACCCGTGAGGCATCCGAGGGACACGCCTACCTGTGGTCTGCGCTGGGCCGGGTCCTCACTGTCCCGCGCCTTCTGCTCACCGCTGCGGGCGGCGGGGACTCCG